ACTACTACTACTACTACTACTACTACTACTACTACTACTACTACTACTACTACTACTACTACTACTACCCGGGTCATCAGATTCTTCTGTTGGAAATGTTTTTGGTTTTGGTTTCCTGGTTTTGGTTACGGAATCAGCGGCTTTGGTTACCGAATCAGCGGTTTTGGTTACCGAATCAGCAGTTTTGGTTACCGAATCAGCGGGTTTTGGTTGCCGAATCAGCGGTTTTGGTTACCGAATCAGACGTTTTGGTTACCGAATCAGCGCTTTTGGTTACCGAATCATAGTTACCGAATCAGACCGTTTGGTTGCCGAATCAGACGTCGACCCTTGGCATGCACACAACCTCCAATCAAGGAGGGTGTAACTTCAGCACTCGGATGAACGCGGTGGTCTTGTGCGGTTTTCTCAGTGAGTCTTTGGGTCTACAAGCTCATCAACAGCAAATGTCCTACCTTCGAAAGATTATTCCAGATCGTATACCAGTTCTATTCCATCTCCCAACACCTAATGAAGATCTTCCTCCATGCCAGATCCATGGCCAGGCGGCGATGACTCGCCAGGGCAAGCGGCTCTTGGTCGCCGGGTGCGGATCAGGCACACGTGCACGCATGCGGCGGTGGCAATTTGTGGATGGGACAGAGTGATTCTGGAGGTCTTTTCGTGGATCCCTTTGTGTTTTAAGGCTTTGTTTGTTTTCTCTGTGGGTTCCATGTTTTGGGGAAAGATGCCTGTGATTCTGTGATGGATTCCGGATAATGGCGGTCAAACAGGGGTTGTGCGTTGGACTCTCCAATCATATAGAAAAAATATGACAAACTTGGATTCTTTGTGTGTACCCCTGTATCAATCCTCTCCAAGTGAGAGCAGGTTTGGTTTTATACGCCTCTCCATGGGAGATGGTACTATATAGTAATTACAAACATGATCGCGCAGAGTGTCGCCACTTGCCTGATCATGCTTGTCAAATACAAGAACACATAGGTGTGGCCAGAGAAACTGCCAGGAGGTCTTCCTGTTTCCATACACACCCAGAACAAGGGAGAACCTGCGGGGAGAATCGGACTGCCCGGACTGCGTTAGAAAGATGGACATCAAATAGACCAGTCATGATAGTCATAGTCTACATGACCCAGCCAGGGCCAAGAAGTCTCCCCATTGGGCCAAGAAGTCTCCCAAGTGAAAAACACACACATAGCGGGAATGTGTGCAAGCAGCGGCTGCTGTCGAACTGCATCAACGTCCGGACTTATGGAGGGAACCTCCACCGGAACCCCTAAATGACATCTTTTCATGACCGCAAAGTATCTAGATGAAACTGCGGACATTTCAACATTCTTCAACCAGCGGTTTCTGATGGTTTTGGTTACTTACGAACTCGATGTTCCTCCCTTTCAAAAAGCTGTTATTATGTCTTTTTTTGACATGTGTTTCACACCCTCGGCCCAGCCGCCATTCCGCCTCTCTCGCCCTGCCGACAAGTCCGAAAGCCGTCGTCGGTTGACCTCGCACGCGCGCGAGAAGGTCATCAAGTGGCAGTGGAACTCAAGACCTACAGCGACATCACCGAGTTGGTGGCATTTGACGTCTCCGCCCAGGAGAATTGACGACACGCCGATTACTGTATATTTCAACCCCTCGATAATCCGATAGGAAGAGGTTGTTCAATCCATGTTTGGGGTGGGTTTATGAATCAAGTGTCTACACTAAAGTTTAAAGTTGAGGGCCTTGGAGGAGGGGTGGATGGAAGGGGCTTGAGTTCAGTGGAGTCAAGTGGATTTTTGGGCTGCGAGTTCTGCAAGGTAGGGGCAGGGCATGCAGTTTCAAGGCTCTTGGAGCACAGATGAGTCATATGAGAACGTACAAATGGTCACATTGTTTGTTCACAGACGTGCCAGTATTGCATCAATAGTCTAAACTCCACAGCCGAAACAGCAGCAGCTTTTGGTTATTAAACGATATAATTCCCCAAGAAGGCACTGACTTTCAGAGCTTTTTTCACGCGTTCCAGCCCCTCCAGCCCTCACTCGGCCAGAGCGTGGCGGTGGCGCAGCGGAAGTTGAAGGAGCTCTTGCCCGAACACATGGCCCGGACATGCAAGAGTGGAGGGAGTGGAAGAAGGACTGTCTGTTTTCAGAGGTGGAATGGTGGTGTGCTTTTTCACATGGGACGCCCGCTGAGAAAGTAGGTGTTAAAACGATTTACTGGCAAGCTCCAAGATACTGTACTGCTCATAACACGTTCAACAATGTTCATTACAATAATCTTAGACCAAGTCAATCCATATTCGCTTTGGGTTGGACACCTACGAACGTGTGGGGGTCAGTGGTTCCTGTGGCTAAACTGCTGGAATGTGGTCGTGCATGTGACTGTGCCAAATGCTACCCCCTTCATCAATCACTGGTGCATCGCCAAGTTTGGCCCTCCACTTTTGGGTGGATACTTTGGGGTTGGAAATGGCAGCCAGCACTAGAACATGACTAGATACTGTATTTGTTTGCAATCCCAGAATAAGTCTGTTTGAAGTTGCTGGTCTAACATGGTGTATCATGCATGGTATAAAATATGGTAAAATATATAGATTTATGGGTATCAACGCTCTTAAGCGATCATCCTCAAACCTTTCCAAGAAACAAAGCCCCAGAAACCGTCCCTAACCGCCCACCGGCGGGTGTTCATGCCTCCGACAACCACTGCCCACCGGCACAACGGCCCCCAACGCCGCCAACGCCCGAGGCTCGGGTTCGCTTCCTTGTGGGAGACATCATGGACCTCACCTTAAGCTGCTGCGACGGATTTCGGGGGATCCGGCATGGCATATATTCACTGCATCACTCAACTACACCACCATCCGGAAAGGGGCCCCATGGCCGGGTAAAGCCCGGCTTTCACGTTGTACACACATTTGCTTCAGAACCATCACATGCCGGTTCATTTGGCAGCTTTAGAATGCTTTATACCATACCCAAACGCTCCATGGTACTGCCATATATGCCGCCCCATTGGGGTGGTTTGGGGGGTCAATGTTTGGGGTGGTTTGGGGGGTCAATGTAGGCATACATTCCATACATGGAGTGCCGGGATATTTACTTGATTTGACTGGGAGAACACCACGTGGCACTGGTGCCAGGGTCCAAACTGCGGCATCCATGTGAGATCTCTGACGTCAGGTCATCCACTGTTGTCCGACGGCTTCGACTTGGTGGTCTGCTGCGGAGTGCTGCCACTCGCCGTTCTTCGCGCCGTCAGAGTCGGCCCAGGGCGGTGTCGGTGGGTTTCCGCCGATCGACGACGTCCACGGTTCGACGTCCACGGCAGGTGGCATGGTTTTGGAGGGTCCGGTCTGAGCTTCGCAGGCCGGATCCAAGCGAAGGTTAGAGCACTTTAAGAATCGTTGTCTTGTGAGCTACCAGTTCTTTTCAATTGAGAGATCACAAGCTTCTGGGTCGGCACACCGGCACTCATGGTGCCAGAGCTATTGTTAGCCAGTTCATAGAAAACATTGGAAAGCCGCTGCAGTTTGTGCATGTTTTGTGCAGCATGCCACATGCCAGTAGAACATATCTATGTGGTTGAAAATACATCACATGATTTGCATGTTGTTTTTTCTTGATGTGGATTATATAGGTAGGTCAGTGAATCTACATGACATGCTGAATGACTAATATATGTAATATACAGGATATATATATATTATATATATGTCCAATTTGTGTCGCTGGTTAGATGACCAAATCCACCCAGTCGCACCAGCACTAGGCAGCTAGACGTTGCCCAGGTCTTCAATACAAAGACATCATCAAAGTCTCGCAGATGGATCCGTTTCACAGTTTCTTGAATGCCAAAGTGGTTCCATCCATAGTCCCATCCATATATTAAACCCTTTTTTTCTCACTCATATGTCCTATCTCCCATCGGAGCCTCTCCCAGATGTGTTTCCGCAATTTCCGTAAGTGGGTCCCCACATCTCGTCCATTTCCCAAGTGTCCCAAAAGCCTTTTCGTCAGCTCGGTGGGAACAGAGGCATCATTTGCCGAAGCCCTTGGAGGGTTTGCAGCGCTTGGCCTCCGTCCTGCGGCCTTCGGGTGTGGGGGACGCCCAGGAGACGGCACGACGGGCAGTCGGGACGTGGCCGCGGGAGCACTTGAAGTGACACTCCATGGAAGCATCATGGTTTAGTTTAGAGTGAACACCACCGGCCCAACGGATGGCAGCATGGTCTTCGGATGGCATGGTCTTCGGATCTTTCCCAGAAGGGTCATCCAGGGTCTTTCAACTCTTCGGGGCCCTCCATCCATGTAGCTATGACATGCCATGACTATTCCCTGGGCTCCTGGACCACATCCGAAAAGAAGGTGGTTCGGTCGGGTGCCAGCGGGGTTCTGTCCCTGCCTTCTGATGTGGGACGAGGGATTCATCTTCCACTCTACATAAACCATCACAGGATCTTGGTTCCCTTGGACATGATAGTTGCGGTTCTTTTTCCCCACCTGACAGGATTAGGTATTAGGGATGGATGGATTTTGGAGTAGACAACCCGCCTCTACCCACCTGAAATATAATGACCTGTTTTTCCATGTTTTGCCCTGCATGCGCAGGTGTGCTGGGTCACTCCAATGACAAACATGACAACCCACAACAAACGAGGACAAATAGAATGACAACGCCAAATATATCGCTTGACAATGACAAAGAGTCGACAATATTGACACTTACAGTTACATCCTACTATAGACAGGGTCCAATATCACATCGACCACTCCTGCTGCAGCCACTGTGCATACTGTCATGTCTGACATTCCTGCATGCTTTTGTTTTTCCTCATGTCTTCATGTGTTTCTTTGGTATGCTGACCTATTCCCATGTATTCTACCTTCATGGACTTCCATAACATTTACACTTGGAGACCTATGTCGAAATCTGCTAATGGTTTTTGTGTTTGGTACGTTCTACATTTGTTTACTTCCATGGCACCCAAGGTCATACAGCTGGCCACCTATTCAGCCTTGAGCCACCAGACCTGGCAGAACGGCGTCCAGGCCGGGCGTTGCGATTGCGTTTCGACCGCTCCATGATCCTGTCTGGGTGTCCTGGCTGGAGATCCTTAGGTAGGGGAATCCAGGACACCGACCCATGATAGATGGTTTATATAAATACACTCCTTGAAACAAGGAAAGTGGATGGCACCTGTTTGGTATTCGGATTTCCATGATAATTCCAGGGAGTGTACAGGCCTATAGTACAGTAGAGCCTGGTAGAGCCTGGCACGTTTCTGCATGAAGGGCATATGGGTGTTTTGTGCTTCTAATGTCTTTGAGAGTGCTTATCAGTTGCTCAGCTTGTATTATGTGGGCTTGAGTGGGACCATAGGAATCTGACCAAGCCTTGCATGTTACTCCCCTGCAGATTAACACTGGGTTGTAGAGGAAAACGGTCTTCCACTATATAATGTCAATTATTAGGTTCCATGTTCGTTTGCGGGAGGGTAACCTATCCATGGGGTGGCTACAAGAGAATGTTTGCACTTCGAGGACTTCAACACCGGCCCAGGACCCTATCTTAGGGACATAGCAAATCTGATTTAAGCACCAATCATGGCTAAGAATTGGGGTCATGATGTATCAGCCCCCCAAGTGGCTGAGATCATCTAAGATCCAGCTCTTGAGTAACAGCAATCCAGCTCGTGCTTTCACCACATCGTTCACAACAAGCCATTTCACAGTGTATCTATATGTAAATATAGTTTATTGTTTCTTAAGGGCATCAATGAACCAACCCGGCTTCTTACGAGGGACAACTGCCAGTGCTCAGAAGAAGACGAACAAACAGAGAGTTTGGACTGTTGAACGCTTATTGTAAGATTTCTGAGTTTGTTTGAGTCTGTCATCAATTCAAGCATCCTTGGTACCTCCACGGCATCAGGATGTTCTCATGCTTTTTGGCCTCCTGTTTTGCATATTGCACGGAGAGTGGCTTAGTCACGTAGTTATTGGTAGTGGTCCCTGTCCTCATCTGCGTGGTGTGTCTCCGATCCTCGGAGGATTGGCTGCGATCAAAGAATCTGAAGCCAGAAAGTGGCAACTCGACTGCCACTGCAGTGAGGGGACGTTACCCCCTCCACTGATTTGCAGTGCATCACCCCACTCACCTTTATTTTCCAGGGAGACTGAGGGGATCAGGTTCCCCTGCACTTGGATACTTTCCAAAGATCGTAGATCCTTTCTTCGCTATTACCTTCAGACTGGCATTTCAGCGGCATTATCCACTTTCCTTCGCTCGTTGATCTCTCAACTCCAAGGCATTCCAACGCGTCAAGAGGTGCAGCGGGAAAACGGAGGATGGGTCTTTCTCACCATCCTTGGATGGAGGCGTCACACTAGAAATCGATGGGGAACCTGGTGGAACAGAGCAGGACCGGTGGAACACGTGACTCATGGAGTGGTGGAACATGTCCGCGGTTTGGTGGGTGGGTGGTGAGTGAAAACACCCGACGTTTCCAGGTGGTCGTTGGAGTTCCAAGCCTTCAGAAGTGGGAAGCTGCCAGAGGCTGCTAAGATCAAGTTCCCTTTTGAAAGGGACATAGATCTAAGAATGATCTAGATGTTTTTTGTTTTTTGGGCTTGTTAGAAGTTAAATTATAGTTAAACTACTTGTTTTGACTTTAAAGGGTTTGTTTTCCAGTGGTCTCTTTGACCAAGAATCACACTCGAGTGTAGTGCAAGTATGACAGTCAAGAGCGTTCATTACACTTTGTTGCTTGGTTTGCCTGGCTTTGATGCTTTCTCTCTTGCGTCAATAGCAGTCCATAGCATAGCTTTATACTTTTAAATCAATCCTATTGACTGGAAATCTTGGGTATAGGAGAAGAGTCGAACTGCGTCTTGAGTTGCACCACCAGTCTCTTCCATTTGGATGTGTCTAGAGAAAGCGACCTGCAAATAAATTGTCAGCTTTCTATCAAAGGTTTCTGGGCAGACTCCGGCAGAACTTCCCTCGTGATGACTGAAAGGCTGGAACTTTGGTGCTGACACCCGTTCATTTCGCAACTCAAACGACCCAGGAGCCCGTAGAACCGCTGTGTCTGTATACTCTACTTCATTTCTACTTCATCCTGATTACTACTTCATCCTACTCTACTTCATCGCAGCTCGTCTCGAATCGAACAACATGGATGTCCCTATACTGTGTTTTTGGGCATCGCAGCTCTTTAAAGTGTCTGTGTCTTCGGGCTCGGTAGCTCCTCGGTAGCTCTTCCGGTGACGCCACCAGGTCCGCGCGATGCGCGCGGAGGTGTTGAAGCCGGAGGTGTTGCACTCGGGGGAGTTCGGGAGGAATTCTCCCGCGGTGTGAACTTGTGGTGGGGGGAAGTTCGGGAGGAAGAGTTCGGGAGGAACCAGTTTCGGCTTCACAACGAACATGAGTGTCTTTGCAAGTTGATGTTTTTTGTGTTTCCGGAAAGCATCTCCGATGCTTGGGTTCTCGTTTCGTCGCTAGCGCCGCAGAAGAGCGAGACAAAGCAAGCGTTGTCGTGGACGGAAGATGGGCGTGGACGGGGCTGTGGATGGAAGAGGGAGGGGCGCGATACGGGAGGTGCGCGGGGCTGGGGAAGGAAGGATGGAAGGAAAGGGACACGAGACGGGAGGCGCGTGGGTGTGGACGGGGCTGGGAAAGGAAGGGAGGGGAGCGAGACGGGAGGCGCATGGGTGTGGACGGGTGGATGGAAGGAAAGGTCTCTTCCCCGTCCACACCCATGGGCGCGAGACGGGAGGTGCATGGGTGGACGGGGCTGTGGAGGGAAGGTGCTAAGTGGAACGAAGCATGGAGGGGGCCAATGCTGCTCCATGCTTCGCGGCAGAACGTCGTTGTGCGAGTGGAGCGGTCTTGCTTATATTATGCGAGTTACGAGGACATGGTTGCACCACAAGCATCATTACAGGCTGCTCCGGGTCAGTTCACAAGTAGAAAAGCACGTTCTGACGGGAGGGGAGCTGTGTTGCGGGGCTTATATGATGGTCTTGGGCGTCCAAAATGTGCACAATGTATGCTCCAGACAGTCAAGTCATGGCCGAAACGGCAGGATTGTTGCATGCCAGAACCGCAATGATTGAAATTTGATGGTTGGAACGAAGCATGGAGGGGTTGATGCTGCTCCATGCTTCCTGGAACGGTTGTCAGAAGCCTTGTTGCAATGGGTTGGAGACTGGTTTCAGGACGAAGTCTACAAGACCCAGGTCGGGAAATGCCGATTTCGCTTGGTCAACGTCAATGTACTGAATGTCAGGATGGACCTTCGCGATCAGTGGCACTGTGAGAAGTCTGATGAGAACGCCAACCACATCTACAGCTTCTGCCAAAGCGTTTTTCATTTGATGATGCGGCTTTATGTCCTTGGTGACATTTCCCTGGAGGTGGCCGCAAGCAGCCCTATGAACAGGCCTCTCGGCATATTGGAGGAGCGCCAAGATCGACTTCCGCCCAACCAGAGGTATGAGGAGCTGCTTCGCAATTTGGCTGATGTTCGCCACAAGCGTGCGGTTGCAGTTGCCGAGCTCGTTGCTCGTGCCCTCACGAAGAAAGAGGTAGCTGCAGAACAACCCAATCGGGCCGCACCCATCTAGCTGCAGAGATTGAAAACAGCCACTTGATATATATATATAATATATACACTACATCCAACCTCCAACCCGACTAAAAAGAGAACCGTCTTGTTTTCAGTGTGCTTGAGGATGCTTTGCCGTGGATAACGGACTACCGTGTTTTTCAGAGTTTGGCACGTATATTTGGCCCAAACTTGTGACTGTCGGAGAGCTTCGCGGCCAAGACCAGAGTCACCTGCCAGCAGGTTGGCGTGCGTGCGAAAGTGGAGCTATTTGGGACCAGCAACGCAATGCGAAATGATAGTTCTGTGTGTTTGCCCTTTGCAAGAAGTGCACGGCTTTGCCACCAGAGAAAAGCGTTTCACGGAATGGGAGACAGCAGAAGGTCGCTTGACATTGATTAGCGATGCCGGTGTGTCCCCTGTTTTTGGTCACGGCGCCGGAGGCTCGGGGAAGACTTTTTGTCTCACCAAAGTTGTGCTACCGGTCTATGAACGGTTCATGCCAGGACAGTGTTGTCGACAGGCGGCGCAAAATTCAGCTGCTCGTCTCATTGAAGGAGAAACGATGCATTCTCGTGCTGGCTTCTTGAAAAAAGCTACATTTACCATGGAAGAACCATCCAGCATAATCAAGGACAAGTTGAAAAGGACCTGGGGTCACGCTGTATTAGTGTACAATGACGAAGTCGGCGCGGCCGGTCCTGGTTTGTATGGAGCTTTGTCTTGCAGAGCTTATTCGGGGAAGAGGGCCGCCGGTCAAGTGCAAGATGTTGAAGCAAAACAAGCGCCCTTTGGACCTTTGGAGATCCTCTGCTGCATGTTGACTCAGGGGACTTTGCACAGCTGCGACCAGTCCCCAAAGGAAGCCCGAGCCTGATGGAAGCCTTTTGAATTGACCGAAACGAGTACAAGCATGATGAACGGGTTCGACCTTTGACTGACATGGAAATGCTGGGGTTGAGAACTTTCGATTGGGTAGCAAGTACTTGCATCGAATTTTAAGGGGCTTCAAGAAAAACGACCCGCTGGTGGAATTGCTGCAGCTCATGAAGACAATTGGACGCGCCCAAATCCCAGAAAGATTAAAACAACAAATTCTGAGCCGGAGGCAGCTTGGAGGTGAAAATCCCAGGGCTAAACCAGGTTATCGCTTGCCTGCTTCTGTGATTGGAACCACGTGCTCGAAAAACAACTTTTGCAACGGGATGTTTTCAGCGGTGAACTGGGAACAGGTGGCAAGGATGCAACAACAGGTTTACGCTGCTCGGAATGCTAGAGTGAGCCTTGGGCCCAAAGCTGGCCGAAATTCTTACACCGGACGTCCACAGTATGCTTGCGAAACCTTTTGCCCGTACTTGAGCCGATCGGCCCTGGCAATTGCTCCTCAATCGGGCGCCAGATGGCTGCTGGCCAACTGCTGTTCTTCATTCAGCGCGTGGACAGGCCCCATGTTCAGCAACATGCCCATGACGAGGACTGATAGAGATGTAACCATCCAGGTTTCAAGTATGAATACGCTTTTTGAAATAGTAGAACTGACCCAAATGTACCAAAAAAAGGCTGTCAGGATGTTTTACGTATGGCCTTGATGCACGTCAACATGACCGACACTGGCAAGCTGTCAGGATTGTCGCCGCTATTTTTAGGTATGGATATCAAAGTCACTCGCAAGGTGGCCCCTCCTCATATTGTGCAGGAAGCCACCGGCGAACTATGGGCCATTGGGTTTCATGAGCGGGAATCCTTCGGCTTGCCAAAGCAAATGCAACGACCAGGGGGACCGCCGCATGCTGAACACCCATGCTTGAAAAAGGCTGGGTGAAATTGGATTTCGTCCCTCGATGGATAGAGATACGGTTCCACGGGTCATCAGTGGACTATACCGGAACGCAACGTCCAGGGGTCTATGTCATGGAACCTGTGAATGCTGATTGGGACCTTCGTTATCAAAGTAGCAAAGTGATCAACCATCCAAAGGAAAGGCCTGTTCGTCGGCGAGGTCCCAGAATCAATGTTGGTATGCGCAGTACTCAGCTACCTGTGGCGCCCGCTGTGGTTGGCACTTACAACAACATGCAAGGCAAGACAGCCATAGATGAGCTGTCTGTTTTGATGGGTCATACAGTGGATTTGAAACTGCTTGATGGCAACGATGATAAGTGGCTGCACTACTACATGATTCTGGGGAGGGCGACCTCTCTTGCCACCACCTTACTGTCGAATTTGCCAGAGACTTCTGATGAAGAACCTGATTGGTCTATCTTTGAGAGTGGACCGCCGGAATATTTGACACATGTGTTCCAGGAACTACAGAAACGGCGCATGTCAACGAGCAAGACTCTGGCACACGAATTGGCCGTCTTACGAATATTTCCTCCATTTGCTTGTTTGCCGCCGAAACGTTTCAATGCCAGTACCCAAAGCTATCTTGATGACCCGGCGCAGTGGAATACTGCGTTGAACAGACCCGAAAAGAGGAAAGAGGGTCCAGTGGCCAACGCTTTGGTTGAACCGTTGGAGAGGCGAGCTGAAGAACCGCCACGGCGGAAGCAACGTGTGTAGAGGAAAAAGGCCGCGCAATCATGATGCGATATGGCATGATCGTCAGCGTTTTATGTTAGGAGGTTGCCGCCTTGACATTTCGCCCCGGCTATTTCGCACTGCTGGGATGCGACGGTCTAGCGAGAAGAAAATGGACTACAGGCTTGCAAACGTATATCCGTCCGCACGCTTTCGCTGAAAGCTCGCAGTGACTGTTCATTCCTTTGGTTTATCTTTTAGGTGTTGCCTATACTCCAAAAGATGCAACTCTTCTCAGCCAGGATAAACAAACCCTCTCAACAGACAAAAGATGCTGCCGTGACATCCGTGTGAAATGCAGCCGTTTTTGAATGCAGCCGTTGACATCCGCGTGGAAGCCTGCAGTCTAGATCCGTGTGGGAGCTATCTATGGCAGAGAATCCAATGGAACACATTATGGGCACCTGATTGGGTGATATTTTTGATTGGATGAGTTGTGGACCACTGAGGTACCAAGTGGGATTGCTGCACACCACCGTTTGAGAAATATGAATGCTCGGTGGATAGCTCTGAGTTTGAAACTGTGGATGATGAGGGGGCCTTGAAAGAAGTGCTCCGCTGGCTGCACCAAAGGTATGTTTGGAAGGTTTCTGGTTCGGACGTAATTTTTCCGGAAGAATTTCGTTACATAGTTGAAACGGAAACCATTCAACAAGATCCGTGCTGGGAAGCCCGAGCAAGTGCCCAGAGTGCTGTGCTTTCGCTTGCTGAAGAATACTTAGCGACAGGGCTACCGAAAGCGACGTGGTGTGAAAAATGCTGGAGTTGAAAGTCGGGTGTCAGTGTAGCCAACGAGCGTGATCAAGCCAGGTCGCCATGACCGGTAGGTTACCAAAGAAAAACGGCTGACGCCATAGACTTAACTTAGCACATTGCACACGCTATGTTACACCCATTCCTTTGCAGCAGCAAAAGTATAGCACCGCAACTGACGCAGTTGATGCACCATTTGGCTCATAGCAGCTGACGCAGTTGACGCTCCATTTGGCCCACTCGGTGGTGTTTTTTCCAAACACCTGCTGGCGCAGCAAACCCCTCAACAAGAGGAACTTAAAATTGCAACGACATCACTGCTTTGGACAAAACTATTGTTTTGATGCCAACTGTCAACGTGATACCAAACGAATTATCCCTTGCGAGTGGCAGTGGGAGGCAGGGAGGCTACCTTTGCAAGCCTGGGACACGAAGTACGTGGAAGTTTCTTGGCCACTAATGGCCTTGAAGACGCCAGCTACACAATGTTGGTGGCTCATCTGGCTTGCGACTAGCGGTGGGAGACAGGGAGGAAGCCATGCAAGCCTGATGCCAGTACATGTTACAAACTCATGCGCCTTGCGACTGGCAGTGGGAGGTATACGGAGGATGCCATTGCAAGCCTGAGGGGGCACGAATAGGTATGAAGTTCAGGCGGCGCCGGTACATGTTGAAGGGTCAAGATGGCAGGGCCTGACAAGTAGCTGTTGGCTGATGGCTGCGTTCAAAAAATACCACCAATTGAAATTGGAGACGTGTTTGTCTTGGCGATCAATGAGGTGGCGCCCAATTTCTTCCACCGCATGGACGCAGGACCGTGGCGGAACCCAGCACCTCACACACACTGAAAGCTTGAATATGAGAAGAATGATGTAAGTTACTTTCACGACACAGCGCCTTTATTGCGTGTCTTTCTATCGGTTCTCCAGGACGCCTCCAACAGGGCGGGGAGAACTCAGCTGAGGAAGGGTTCCTTGGGAGGAAGGGAGGGAAGGAAGAAAACACATGGATGTCATTGGAACATAGCGGCTTACTAGCCAACTTGGCGAGCATGCTGTATGTTAATGTGGCCCAGGCGAAGCTATAGCTGACCTATTATAAGGTTGCGAAGTCGAAAGCAAGACAGCAACACAGGGTTGAAAGATCCTGGAACAATATTTGCATCGATATAGTGTCTGGTTTCGAAACGGTGAAGCGCTCAGGTGAAGTTTGTCAGATCCTGTCTTGCTTGCCCGCCACCATGCCATATCCACTTTGCTTCCGGGAGCCTTCGCCGGATGAGTTTCAGTATGCGAAGGATTTGTACTCCCAGGGCTACTGCGAGTCGGCCGTGCGACACTGGTTGGATCCCACGGGAACCCGTTCCGGCAACAGACGGCTGGAGAGAGGTGCTGCAAGCTCTTGTCCTTTTAGTGTATATGTGCCCCAGGCAAAGCCTAGATATTGCAAAGCTCAACCGCGAAAGGGTTGCCTCCGTGAAGCTCCACTGGAAAGAAGAAAACGGCCTGACCAAAATAGAAAATGCTGTCGCGCAGGCAGTCTTTGGTTGGATTTTGAAATTTGCGCAGTCGCTAGCTCCTACACACCCTGCCCTACCCTTCGGGAGGCTGGTATGAAGCTGCGCATACCCAGGAATCAGCCATGATGCTGCGCATGACATATGGCTGCGTCATCTTCGCGCGACGGCGGCTGCAGGCGGTAGCCTGTTAAATATATAAGCTCCTGTGAGTATGCTTAAAGCACACAACATATGTTGCACCGCTGTGCCAAATTACATCGCCCGTGGGCTGCAACATGTCATGCTATGTGTTTTCCACCCTCACTTGATTTGCTCTGCTCAGGCCACACTGGCTGCAACATGTCATGCTATCTGTTTTCCACCCTCACTTGATTTGCTCTGCTCAGGCCACACTGTTCAGTTCCTGAGATACCATGGGACCTTCAGCTCCAGTTTCACTATGGTCAGGTCTCACCAACGACTCATGCCACCTTGTTTTTTTGGAGACAATCGCACGTGGACCTCATAGGGGGCTGTTGCTTTGATGTTCCACTTTTGCACCCAACCCAATGAGTGTATCGACGTGTGGACACCAGAATTGGTAGGGAGACACCAGTTCGACGTTCCGCAGATCCCACATGAAACATATCCTCACTCGTGCAGATCTTCACAGTTCCACATCCGAGACCATCTGTGGGACTTGAAGAGTTTCCCAGACCATCCGTGGGTCGGATTCATGGGGATAGATGTATGTAACTATTTCCAGTCGCATGGAATGGTTTGGGTATGGAGACACTTTTTTGCTTCCTCCAGGATGACTTAGATCAATGAGACGACCCCAGTTCTTTGCGATCAAAGATGATCAAAGATACCACTCAGATACCACCGTTCCTTGGATGTCTTTCAGGCCCAGAAACATCAACTGCATGGTGGCAACGAACATCTCATTCACCAAAAACTTTTTTTTTTCAGGTCGGGTGGGCGGTGCAGGAGCGGCCAGAAGAGGCCTTGACGCTGTTGCACTTTCCAGATCCTCGGCTTTGGACCATCAGAAACATATTGAAGACAACATGTTTCAGGATGGTTCAATTGAACATTTTATATAGGTAGAATTGATCTGATTGTCCAGATTTGTACGGGTTGTCATGGGTAATATGGTTGTCACATGTTGTCACAATCGAATACACTTCGCAGATCTTCCATCTCATGGCCCAGACACTCCATGTATTTGCCTATACACTGGGGTGGTTTCAGGGGGTTAATGTAGTAATATAGGCATGTTTTTTCCAGTCCCATGGAGTGTTTGGTTTAGGCAAGTTCGAGGGTGATTCAGTGTAGAAAGGTTCCAACCTCGGGGTGGGAATCTATGAACCTAAGGAGCACTGGAATCTGTGTAAACCACCTCAATAAAGAACGTGAAAGACTTCCTCCCGTTCAGGTGTCAAAATTGATGGGAATGTCTCAAACCAATCCAGACTCCCCTTTCACTTGGAATCCCCGTTGCATCAATGAGACTCCCCTACAGGTGTCCAACGAATTTCAAACCAGAAAAAATTTAGGAATTCTCGCAACCATGTTCCTAGCTGGACCTTCAAGGGGTGTCCGATGGAGGTCCCTTAGTAGTGTAGGGGCTTCCATTGGTGACCCTTTTGAAGGTGCTGGTAGAGTCCTAGAGGCAAGTGATGGGAGCCTTGAGAGCCTGGCGACCATGTTTTAGAGAGAGAGAGAGAGACTGGTCTGGACCGGACTTCGGCCCACAAAAAAGGGTTAGGGAAAGCCAGACCGAACCAGAACTCCTATAGCGACCCTGTTTGACAAAGCCTGGCTGAGCTTTGACACACCTGCAGCTTAAGCCCTTCGAGTCTGCAGGGGCAGATAGCCCGTGACACCTATAGACTTAAAGCCTGGCGACGATGGCCTGTGACGATGCTTCAAGCCTAACGTGTCGTGTCGTGTCGTTGAACTCCGATCCCCGATCGGTCTCGGCACGAAATCGACGGACCCGAGTGATCGCAGCAAAGATGCGAAGCTCCGTGGGGGTGAAGGGCTCGGTCTCGGTTTCCGGCTACAGACACAGCTTCGATCCCATGGGGGGGTCCAGTTTCCACTGGGGGTCGACCCTGTGACTCTGCAGATGAATCGGAATCCGAGGAGGATTCGGGAAGCCACCGCCTGGGGGGAGGTTTTGGGGATCTCTGTTTTGGCCGACTTGTTGAAGCATGACATGACTTGGACGCCTTTGTTGGGGGAGGAGATATTGTATACCTCAACCATTCAAGGAAGATCCTCAGGCACGGTAGTCCAGCGACATATGTTGTTTGATTCTTTGGGGAGCTGGACCACTTATGATGTCGGTGGTGGACCACCACAACATTGCAGGCGGTTGAGTCCATACAATCACCTCCCGGTCGACCATAGCTGCTGGCTGTAGCCTACCAGCCTACCTTGGCTGCTCCAATTCAGCTCTCTCCAAGGAGTTCTACACCTACGCAGGTGTGTTGGACTTGCTCTTCCATCCCCTTGAGAGGTCGCCCGTTCGCGTTTGCTTGCTGCGTCAGCTCGGGCGACGACGGGTCAACCAGGATGGACAGCAAGGTGGTTTGGTTGACGCAAAGGCTTTCCGGCAGACCCCAAACAGTGTGTGTGAGACCCCAAACAATGATCGGTGCTTTTTTACTACTACTACTACTACTACTACTACTACTACTACTACTACTA